GAGAAATAAACGACACAGTCCAGATGTCTCTCTGCTGAACAATACAATGCAGGTGACTGCCTGAAACACACAACAAGACATGGTATGAGTCTCATACCATGTCTTGTTGTGTTTCAGGCAGTCACCTGCATTGTATACACTCTATCTGCATTGTTGACTGTGTCGTTTATTTCTCAGTGAGTATTCAACACTATGCTCTTAACACAACATCTAGTCAACATCGGTGTTATTGCTATAATTTGGAATGTATTGTATCATGTGTTAAGATTTAAGTATTTTGACACCCGTGTCTGGGGCTGATGAGTTTCCGCGCACCGGTTGTTGTGGGCTGGGCCGAGTCAAAGTACAGGGCTGTTTTTTAGTCCCAGTCCGCCCCTGTGCATTTATGATTTGTGATTAACTTTTTTGCACACACTGCAGACTATACATGGCATATACAATTAATTAAGGAGACACCCAGACACCAACAAGTAATCCTGAATACTACCTGGCCCTCACTTTTCAGTGCGTTATTAAATGGGGAGAATTCAAGTCAACATAATAAAAGCAAAACATTAACAAAAATAATCCAGGTCTGAAAACTAGACTTTAGGTCCCCCTACAAAACAGGGCCTCAAGAAAATGTGATAATGCAGTATCTATTTTAGTCCTTTTTTAAATATTAGCTTTGCTAATTTCTAAACCAACTCAACAGACACAAACTGAATGTGGGGCTTAAGGATCTGGGGCACTGGGGCAGTTGTCCGCTTTGCCTGGAATGCTGAGGACTTGTGAGTTCATGGCACACATGCTGTACTTCGTCTGTACTCACTGTTTCATGTCCTGCATCTGACATTCCATGTTGTCCTGTTGTGTTCTGAGAAGCTGGACTTCATACAGCAGTTTACTGAGGTCCTCCTGACGAACTTTGGTCTCCTCACTTTTCACTATAGATACCTGAATGCACAATAGAGCCTAATTCAATAACTTACTCAAATACAGCACATAAAACCACACATTCATTCTGCTGTGTGTGAGTGTGAGCAGAGAAACTCAGTGGAGTTTTTGGATGGGAATGTCAGTCTGTCCACTTTGGTTTCAGCAACTATAGGATGGATCGCCAACATTTTGTTAAGACAATTATGGTCCCCAGAGGATGAGCCTTACTGACTTAGGTGATCGCCTGACATTTCCTTTAGCGCTACCATGAGGTTGACATTTGTGGTTTTGAGTGCAATATCTCAACAACCAATTTGGTACACTCTTGTCTTCATTTGGCTGAATTGTAATTACTTTGGTGATCCCTTCATTATTTTTGTTTAGCGCCATCACTGGATCCAAATTTTTGAAAACCAAAAGCCTTAAAAACTAATGTTTCCCATTAGCATCAGGTGAAATTTGTGTTTTGTGCTAATTAGCTAACGTCAATAAACAAAACTAAGATTGTGAACATCTTAAACATTATACCTGCTAAACATCAGCATGTTAGCATTGTTATTGTGAGCCTGTTAGCATGCTGATGTTAGCATTTAGCTTAAAGGCAGCAGCTTTTAGACAAGACACCATTACTGTGGTGGCATCTGGCTTAAACCAGCATATAACAATGTTATGTATGTAAGGATTTTACTTTTTAAGTGCCTTTGCCAAGAAATCTGTCCAGGAGATTCTGTAGAGGCAGTTTTATGTTGAAAGTATAGTCATCTAATGCCAATAAAATAAAACTGAAAATGCAATCTACAGACTTTAAACATTTCAAAGAAATTTAGTCTAGCTTTCATAGATGCCTTAAAGTCTTTTCTGTTCTGTGCTGATATCAACAAACTGTGACTTAGAAAGAAGGGAAGGGAAATTCCACAAGTCTTGGCTGCGTAAAATCAATTTTACTCCCATAAATTTCAAATAAATCCATTTGGATTGCCGACAAGGGACTAACCAGACTGTCTGCATGGGGTCAGTGGTGAGCTACTACCCTGTATATCTTTTGCTAGCTTGGTACTCTGTTCCATTTCCTGTCCAAAATTTCACTTTTACAGGTCACATGTTTCTGTCTTTTAAGATGATTTAATTCTCCTATCTACAATGCAATACATCATGGAGTTTGATTATTCAGGCCCTAAGCTAGCAAGTAATTCCAGCTGTGTTTAATTAGCTACTCCACACAGCTCTTTCACATATCTCCACACACTGTGAGGTTGGACAGATGTTGTCGTGTCTAGAGACGATTAACTTCCACATTCACACCACCTTCACATATTTAACTGTAAACATCCCAAACATCAGTGCTTCTAATGTCAGTGTAAATGTGTTCAGTTGCACAATTTCAGCTTAAACATTTCTCCGAGCCAACACAGTCTGTGGAGATTTGTTTAACTGACTTCCTTGTCTTTGAGACATTGTGTATGTGTGCATTTTTGTGTGCCCATACCTTCCTCTTGATGTGCTCAAGCATGTGTTCATGTCCCTGAAGGAAGTATAAATGTTGGAACTCTGTGTCGTCTCTCTCAGGCTTCACCAGACCGCTCTGCTCAATGTTCACCACTTTACGGAAACCATCTACACACATACATACAAGAGCACACACACACACACACACACACACAAAGTATAAAAAGATAGTGTAATGGAGAGAAGAGAAGAGAAGAGAAGAGAAGAGAAGAGAAGAGAAGAGAAGAGAAGAGAAGAGAGTACTCACACATGTTGAGCTGTCGAACAAAGCTCGCCATATTATTGTGTTTGAAGTACTTTGGCAAAACTTCCTTGGCAAAGCGTCCCTGGTCAAACACATGGAAACTTGTCCCAGTCTACAAAGAGAAAAGTCAGGAAAATAGTTTAGAGCATCTTTGATCAGATCCTACTCATTACTATTGCTCAGTGTGCTCAAAACAAACTTTTAGACGCTAAAACCTCTCATTCAATGATGTATTGTGTAATCATAAGTACTGAACCAGAAAATCAGCCAAACATTAAAGGAATCAGTGTTCATTACCTGTTTTAATTACAGCACAGGGGGGAAAAGTGTGTTATTTTGAAGTTAAAATCTGTAACTAGTCAGAAGTGGCTAAAATAAGCCTCCCTACAGCAACAGAGGTAGAGGAGCCATTTATGAAACCTGCTGTTTTTTGAAACTGCTTTCGAAAGGCATGGAAGAAGTGCAAGTTCTGCAGAGTGTGGCACCATTGGGACTTTGTTTTATTGATAAAAACATGATGTACTATAGTGCATACAGCACAACACTTAAAGTGAAGTCCTTTGCAGTGATAAGGAATTTGAAATGAATCTCACAAAAAAGTCTGACCCCGCTAAATAGGAGCATAATTACATGCTAATTCTTCCAGCCTCTGCTACATTTTGCATCCCACTGCGCTTGATCATAAAAGTAGCAGAAATAATCTGATTAAACTGCCATACTATAATCACATATCAACTAGGTTACCCTGTATTCCATGTAAACTTTCTCTCCCAAGACATTTGCAATGTTGACTCTCTCTCCTACTTTAAATTCCATCTAAGAAACAAACCTATGTTAGTGGGTGATGCCTATTTGATGAGGATTTTATACCTAGTTATTTTATTGACTTATTATTGTGTATCACTGCTCGTTGATTTTATGATGTCTGGATAGGGTGTTCCTGAGTGTTTTGAAAGGCACCTATAAATAAGACACATTTTTAATCACCATTATTATTAGTATTAGTATAGTTATTAATAATAAATACATCCCAAATATAACATACAACTCATAACCCAAAAACAGTATAAGAGTCAAACAGAAAGGTTTGACTTTAGAACACTTTTTCCTTTTTTTTTCAGATTACAGATTATTCTATATGACAGTGACACAGGGCCATAATCATCTATTTAACATCTATAACAGTCTACATTTATATAGCTGATGTATTACAATCCAGTTTTCCACTTTTTATACATTTGAAAGTAATGAAATAGAGTCAGTACAGTGTTTAAGATTGATTGTACCTACCCACAGCAGTTGAGCAACAGCTTGAAGTATGCCAATGCCACTTGCACAAACCACATGCAGAACTGCAGTGCACCATAACACCATAACACTAGAACCACTAATTATGATAATGACAATTTGTTAAGTTTATTTGAGAGTCTGATTACATTTGCTAATAATTATTTTGGATGATAGTGCTTGGTTTCCTGTCATATTATGGCATTTTTTTTTCTTTATATTTTTTATCAACATATCGAATTGGACATGAAGTGGAGCATATTTGAATAACATATATAACATGTGTTGCCTAGCAGTGACATACAAACCTCACTGTCTATTTGTGGGTACAAAAAGAAAATGTTTTTATTTTTGTGTCAGAAGCATGCAACTTGAGTTTGTCAGTGATAATGTTCAGCACCTGTCACTGGATGATACTCTGTGTTAAATAATGCTACCTTAATGATGAAAGGAGCTTTGTGAGGAGGTAATATGTTTTCCACAGAGCGCAGAATCTATTCATCAGCAGCCAAATTCAGCTCAGTCAGCCAATCAAACACACTCTCTCTCACTGTGAGTGATGAATCATGCTCTATTGCCCAGCGTTACACTCTTACTTAGCAACTGCAGTAGCACTGTTTTCCTCTGAAAAGCAGTATTGTGTGAGCTATTGCAAATATATTACATCAGTAAAAACCCATTTGCACAGCAGGTGTGAAATTTATAAGGTTTAGACAATTCGAGTAGGACGCTGCTGTTACCTTGTGTGTCATAATGCTCACTTGCTTACTAATAGTCTGACAATGCAACAGCTGATGCTGCACACCCTGACTACAGATGTCATGGGACTGCAAAGCATCTGCCTGTGTGTTTGTCTCCCTATGAAGAACAGAGAAGCTGCCCTCCTCCTGTTTGCTGAATCACTGAAGCCTCATCTTTGTGGCACACATCAATCCTGCACAACTCATTCCCTCGGACAAACGGAGATTAACACAGAGAGAGCCACATATGGTGTCTGTTGTCATCTAGACAATGCTAGCAAACCGTACTTAGAAAATTATATTTATATTTATATATTTTTTAAAAGAATTAAACAATGATTAAGTACTTGTTTTAGCTCGCAGAATTACAGATGTAGCTGCCCTTTCTAGGTCAAAGGTCAAAAGTGACATAAGTGTGGTAATCACAATGCACTACTTGAACAAGTGACCCCTCACTTAAATGCAGGCTGACAAACAAAAAGTGAATTTTATGTATGCATTTTCATGACTTATTACTGTAGAATACTGTCAATGTCACTACAAGATGGTTAATCAACCAATTATATAAGCATTTATAAAACCTCTGAACTCTTCATGAATACACCATGTTGTAAACTGTGAATTTATGTTACACTAATCATTATTATCAATAATAATAATAATAATAATAATACTGATGATAATAATAATAATTAATTTACTGTTGTCTTTTTCCCTGGTCCAGTAATTATCTAAAGACCCCCAAGATTTATCCAGTAATCCCTTGAAGGGGCTGAAAATGACTGGACTAAACTAGTCTAACAATGTAATCCATAATGATATATCATTCACAGGAGTCCTTTTTCTGCAGAAGGAGTACATGACTGTATGTACATTTACTAAGGGCTCTAAATGCATTGGTACTTTTATTTAAGTAAAGGATTTGAGCACTTCTTACACCCCTGTTGTGGCCATCCTCCTCCTACTATGACAACAATTTACCAGACAACCTGCCCAAAAACCACAGGCCAACATTAGCTTTATGAACTGGCTTTTCTGTCACTGATTTATATCATATTGTTTATATTGCTATATTCGTGTTAAGTTATTATAAAAGACAACTAGATCTGCTGGCAAACTCGATTTATCTCTGTAACATGCTAAATGAGCCAGTTGTTAGCAAGCGTAAATAGGTAGGCCTATAGAAGTAGCAGCTCTGTTAGCGAGGCTAAACAAGCGTCCATGAGCTAGGCTAAACAGCTGTGGATGCAGCTAATTAGCATGCTAAACAAGCTTAGTGCAGGAACAAGCCACTATAGAAATGCTCCTGTTTTGAGATTGTTTAATTGCTAGTTCAATATATATTTCTTTATTTTATATTTGTACAAGTTTGTTATCCCCTTATAGTTTATTTGATATATATGTAGGCCTATGTATTTTCTAATCAGCCTTGTGAATAATGTGTATCATTTACATCAAAGTTTCATCCTCATGTCAAATGAATATGGCCCTCCAGTGCCTAGCCACAACTTATTTTTGACTTGTGTGATACAGTTGATCATTTTATCTAAACAGGCTTTTCCTTATCACAGGGCAGCATGATGAACACTAGCAATACAGTGTGTTCACTGAGAAAGATGATAATGGTTTAGAGGACAATGTTTTTCAGTTATACTCCTTTTTTGTTGTTGTTGTTGTTATTTTGCTGTTAACTGAAATTACATTCATTACAGTTACCACAGAATCATGTACAGTATGTACTGAGGATTGACTTACAGCACTCCAGCAGATGAGGTGGTTGGTATCTGGATCCTCCACCAGGGTCCACAGCTTGGTGAGAAAGGCTGGAACATTGCTGGCATAGCTGCCATCTACCCCCATGGCACCCGGAGACTCCTGCATGCTGTCCACTGCTAAGACGGCTCACAACAGGAAACCAAAGGTGTGTATGTGTGAGTAGAAAGTGTATGTGTGTGTGTGTGTGTGTGTGTGTGTGTGTGTGTGTTGTGTGTGGGTATGTATGTGCAGACTCCCAGACTAGTCCATGTTTGAGAAATTCCGCTTTAGATGATCCGTTACTGATAATCCCAAGTTTGTCTCAGTCTATTTGATTCCATTTCAGTCGGTCAAACTGTCTCTGTACGTCCTTGCTGAAACAATCTCACCTTGTCTCTGAGTTTCACTTTCTCTTCTCTTGACTTGTTTAATAAATCCTGCTTTACTCTTTGTTGCTCTTGGAGTTTCTTTTTCTCTTTAGCTCTCCTCACTCTGTCCTCCCTGCTACACCAGACAGCCGACTGAATGTCATCACAGATGGTTCATGTCAGCATACACACACACACACACACACACACACGCACACACACACACACACACACACACACACACACACACACACACACACACACTGCTACCCCCGGCCTCCCGCTGACAATCAAGAGACCACCCAGTGAAACAATACAGCATGCAGACAAAAGCGTCAATAATACACCACTGTCCAACCATCAAAAGGCTACTGGTTAAACTGAATAGTGCAGTGTTCAGGGTACCTGTATGACAGGTAGAAAGGGCCCCCTTATTAGTTCTGAGAATTATTATAAATGTCTTGACGCTGTTATGAAGTGAACACACTGCACTGTTTGTGCAGTAAAACTGCAATAACTTATTAACTAACTGATTCAATCAGAAATAGGGATGTTATAGTGCACATTATGATATCTTAATGTGGGGCAGTGTAGAGTCCCAGTAGAGAAGGAACATATTAGGAAATGTAAATTAATGATTATCCAACACTTTAATCAGCGGTGGAAGAAGTATTCGAATCATTTTCAAGTAAAAGTATTAATACCACAGTAGGGAAATACTCAAATTACAAGTAAAAATCCTGCATTCAAGATCTTACTTCAGTAACAGTGCAGAAGAATCATCAATATCATTTATCTTAATCAAAATAAATATTAAAAGTACAGGCTTTTGTCCATGACATAATATTTAGCACGGTCTTATAGAAATATGTGAAATGGACACTAAGTCTTAACAACGCATGGTGGTGGGCACAAAATTTCATACTGACAACAAAGAACAAAGTATATTAGGATTTTTGTCGTGGTGGGCACGAATTAATGGTGGATGGGTCAAACAAACATAGACTCAACTGGGTGGGTGCTGTTTGTGTGAAACTTGATTTTACATAACTATGCAAAGTACTTAAATCAAATATATGTATTTTTTTTTTTTTTACTAAAACCACAGGTTTTTTTTTTCTTTTCTAAACTTAACTATTGTTTTGATGGGTCAAACAGACATGGACTTTTATCTAGGAGGCCGCTGTCTGTGTCCCCACTGACCAAGTCAACGTAGCTACACGACTTTACCAATCTATGCCCAATACTTTCGTAATGTACGTAGTTTCTTTTAACCAAAACCACAAATTTTACCTTAAGTTGACTATTTTTTTTGGATGGGTCAAACAAACATGGACTTTCAACAATGAGGATGCTGTTCATGTCCTGTGTGAAACCACAGGTAAACAAAGTAATGTGACTCTACAGACTTTATATAACTATGCAAAGTACTTTTGTCGTGTATATAGCTGTTTTTTTTAACCAAAACCACAATCTTTTCCTAAACTTAACTGTTTTATTCAGATGGGTCAAACAAACATGGTCTTTCAACCAGGAGGCCGCTGTCCGCCACCCCACTGAAACCAAGTCAACATAGCTACATGACTTTATAGACTTTACCTAACTATGCCAATTACTTCTGTCACGTACATAGTCTCTTTTAACTGAAACTGCAGTTTTTTTCAGCAAACTGCAGTTTTAAACTTAACTATTTTTTTGGATGGGTCAAACAAACATGGAATTTTAACCAGGAGAATGCTGTTCATTTCCCATGTGAAACCAAAGATAAATATAGTTAAATGACTTTGTGGACTTTACATAATCAAGTCAAGTAGTTTCATCCTGTACTTAGTTTATTTTCCAACCAAAGACAATATCTTTTCCTAAACATAACTATTTTTTTGTTCTTTGAATTTAGTCAAGCATTTTTCTACCCCTAAACCTTACCAAACTGCAACATTTTCACAACAAAACTGCAGCTCTGTACTGGCATTGTGTTGCCAGCACATAATTTAAACACATTTTATGCCCACCACCACATAATGCATTCAAGAGGTCACGTCCATTTCAAGAATTTCTGTGAGCATGTGTTGTAATACTGTTGATATACATTGATGCAGTAATATGTTTTTGTAGCAGGTCGAGCTAATACTACCTACTTCATATTTAACAAGGCATCTTATTTTGGAAGGTCATTACAGGTTTTGTATGTACAATATTTCCCAGAGAAATGCAGTGGAGTTGAAGTGTAGCATAAAATGGAAATATTCAGGTAAAATTCCTCCCCACTGAAAATTATGACACAAAATTCCATAAATTTGCTGTGGATATCTACAGCTCCCAGAGACTGAATCATGGTGATTTCAGTGACTCCATGGCCTTTCCTTTAGTGCCATCATCAGGTCAAAATTTCCACTTGTAAACAAATTATATCAAAATCTAAGGGGCAGATTTTCATTGATTTTATTAGACAAATTAATTTTCCCCTAGACCATTAATGATTTTATTGAGGAATATCCATTCTTTCCTACAGCAGCACCCTCTGTTAATCAGAAGGTGACAAAATGACACATGGTTTGATGTTGCAAAACTTATTTATTTGATACAAAATTTACATAATTGTAAAACTGAAATTTTACAATAGCAACAAGGGAGTACTGAGAAATATGTTTTATGATAATCATAAAATGGCTGAAAGTCTGTTGGGTCATTTCAAAGTGGAAAGTAGAAAATCTTAGGATTCACAGTTTAGAGTTTCAATTGATACACATAATACCACCGTATGATTTACAAACTGTACACAACACTACAATAAGCAGCTTTGTTGCTTTCAGTAAAGGCCATGGTGTAGTTTATGGAAATTGTTTTCATATTCCTTCCTTCTTATTCCTTATTCTGAGAGGAGCTATGGGTTTGTCTTCACAAGTGAGCCCTTTCAAATACATATCGTCATTTGATTCATTGTTCATATAAAAATATTGATAGTCTGCTTTAACCAAAAGGGATTAATGCTGCAAAGCTGTATTTTGAATGATGTTTCAATAAGCTAATTTCATGATTAAGATGACTTTTGTCTTGGGATAGTTTTTCTGAGTTCGATCTTCATGCGGTATGGTTTGGGGGTCTGGGTTGTCCCATAAACAGGTGTGAAGTCTGGCTTTCCTGCATCCTCAGGCCAGATGAACTTGAACCTCCTCAGCAGTGACACCATAATGAGATAAAGTTCCATTCGAGCCAGACCCTCTCCGAGACAGGTACGTGGACCTGCAGATTAAAACACCTCCATATATATATGTTTTTTATAACTTAGTGATATTTCTCCGATCAAACATTCCAGTCGTGATTTCAAACTATCTATGAAATTGATAATCACTTCACTCACCTATAGAGAAAGGCATAAAGGCCTCTGGCTTCACAAACTCTCCCTGGTCATTGAGGAAGTTTTCAGGGTTGAATTCATAGGGGGATTTCCACTGTCCCTCCTCAGTCAGCACTGAGGACAGGTTGGGGATGATAATTGTTCCCTATAGAACAATACCAAAATTACAAAAAAAAACAAAACAAAAAAAAGAGGTCTATTAAAATGTAAACACATAACTTTAGCTTTTTTTTTACTGTGAATGCGCTTTTCCATGCTCCCACGCCTTAACATAGAGTCCCATCCCATCAGTAAGCCCTAGGTTCAATCACTATACCTATGTGTATCATTCACCTAAAATTCAAGAGCCTCCACAAAAGTCAGCAGACAAGTATTACTGTCTTATCAAATAAGTGTTTTAATGGCAACACAAAATATATTTAAAAAAAAAAACATTCACAACTCACACAGCCATACTCACAACATTCCAGTAGCAGAAAGGTATGAAAGACTTTACAACTAAAATCATAACAATTACAGAATAAGTCTGATTTTTTTTTTTTTTTTTTTTTGTGATTGTTTATGTGAGGTTTTCCCCTCTTAAGCGGTTTTCATATAACCTAACCTTGTCTCCCAGAAAGTACGTTTATATCACACTTATTTGTAGCAGCAATTGCATTTTGGGTAAATATAATGCTTTTCTTTTTAAACTAATGATGAGATGTTGTTGATTAATATATCTGGCAAGTCTCAAAACGATGATACTGAATGTATCAGTAGAATGTTACCTGACAATGTGTTTAATTTGTTAACTGCCAAAATACTATGCAATAATACCATCTTGCAATAAAGTATCCCCTCATAATAACTACATTATTGCACCACTGACAGAACTTATCAATCATTATCAAACTATCAGAGACCACAAGGCAGTGACTCCAAACAATACCCCCTGAATTCATTTGGGGAACATACATTAGAACAGACTAGCGAGTGCCCAGGTGTGTGTCACTGAAGGGGCCCTTCAATTCAGGCAAATCAAGGGCAAAGAATTTGGGGTGCTTACTACTCACTGTGGATAAACACATGCATCCTTGATAATTCTCTAGGATTTGATCCTTGGTAGAATTCAAAGGATCCTTGACATTGGAACAGTCCTTCAGCCTTGAAAGGATCCTTCCTTGACTTTGAGAAGCACCAACTCTCGTCTGGTCCCTCCCACTCGAGTTGAAAATCAAGCTGTTCCCCTTAGTGCTCTGTCTAGAGGCCTGGAGAACTTCCACTGTGTTGACTGGAAATGCAACGTTTTTCTGTTGCATTTGTTTTCAGGGTTTGAGTGTTTATGACTTTGTATTGTTTCAGTATTTGCAGTATGTTTGCTGTTAATGTATTTGCTTTATGAAGCACCTTTTTTCAGCCTTTTTGCAGCACATTTCTATTGTATTTGTTTTGTATTTTTGTACATGTTTCTGAATTG